CTATTTCTCAAATTTTGGAGCTTATGTGCACTTTAAATTCATCTTTTTTCAAAAGAAGCAATCTTCATCATCTTGAAATTGAAATTTTTATTATTTCTACTTAAAATTTTAATATTTATTTAACAATTTCTGCCGTTAAATTTACCTTGATGACTTCACAATTTCTCAAACGTCACGTTTCAATCCGAATTTGGCTCATGAAACGGTGTTTGATCTAGTTTGTTAAACAAATACCAAATAAAGCCCGTTTCAAAAATTCGAATAGTGTGCGTTGTTGTCCAAAATAGTCCGAATAATTTCTGGTTTTGTTTGAACACGTTTACGCATGCCTTTTTTCGACCGGGTCCACCTTAACTTTATACAGTCGTATTTAAGGGCTTATTCAACCGTTTTTAAACAGTTGTATTTTGGGAGAATGGCTCAGTTGGACTCGGGCTAAAATTAGAAGACAAACAGGGCGGATCAGGGGACTTTTGGACAATATAAAAGCTCGGTTATGATACGTATTTAAAGGCTAATCAGCTTGTTTGGCTTGAAATTGAAACTTTTCAAATTTTGAGAGTTTTTGATGACTTAAAAATGATCTACTGATGCTCGCGCTGTGCTGCGTAGACTATAATTAAACTTGAGAAAAATTAGCCAGTCTAACAAATGTGTACGTGAGATTTATAGCTCGGGGCTTTGCAGAGATAGGTGAGATTTTTAGGGCAGAGGTCAACGGACTTGGACGTTAACTTTCTTCAAAAAAATCGAGGTTTTCATCTGAAAATTAGAGCTCGTATAACTTAAGGGTGTTTTTTCTCTAACCGACTGTCCCCATTTTCCATAATCTCTAGTCTTCAAAGATCATTCTATATCTCAGCTTCCCATACAAAGCAAAATGTGTAAAAATTTTACAAATTAATACACAGCATACATTGAATTTTTAAATTGCTCCGTAAAATTTCTCTGTTGTCATATTCCATCTTTACTCTCAAACATAATCCAGTACACCCTCATCCACTTCATAAATTAGTCCAGATCCCGACTCGCGTATCACGCCGTTTTTACGACTGACTGAAAACGAGTATCTGCTTATTGTTACAAAGACACCCCGAGGAGGAAATGTTGATGCGTCATTTCCGTTCATTTACAGCATCTCTCTTCTCTAACTGCTCTCCTCAATCGGCATTATCTATCAGTTCGTTCGAAAAATTTCGAAATAATTTGAGGCGATCTTTGGGAGGAGAATATTAATTGACTTTTTGGGCTTTTGAACAGCATTTTGACAATTAAATAGGGTGTTTATTATGAGGGCTGGAAAAGAATACGAACAGTGACTTCTGCAGGGTTTTATTTATAGCAAAAGAGGGAGTAGTCAGCGACCAATTGAACGATTTTTTGCTGGAAAAGTTTGAGTACTCAATGAGCTATAAACTCAAGATGAAAAAGGATGACTTTACTGGATTTGAGACTATTTTTCAGCCAAAATTTGGCCTGGCAGCTTCTCGATCTCGCTTATTAAAAAAATATTGCTCAAACTATACGACTCTGGTTTCACACTTCTCCTCAGGGCATTTCCGGTCGCGCGCAGTCATCGATAATGTCGTTCATAATGGATTGTCGTTCACTGCCTCTTCCCCAGCCGCTACCTTCTCTTTTTTTATCATTTCCGTCCGTTCATCTTATTTATATTGTCATCAACAAGCTCACCCTTCCTTACGGTATCTTTTGCGTCCGTTTGAAACTTTTTTCGATACAAATTGTTATCTTTTTATTGCAATTGCGTCACTTCCTTAGGTGCCTCGCTTTTCCTGAAGGTAATTGGATTGCAGATCGTTCCAGAAAATTTTGCTTTTCTTGTGGATTTTCGAGGGGTTAAAACGATAATTTCTTCGACTATTTACTTGACCAGCGCCGCTGTAAACCGTCGACACGACTATTTTTTCCTTCCCATTATTTTTAAACCCATATTATTAACTTGTGTTCGGCGCTTGTCAAAACGGAAAAGAAAACTGATTTTTCGCGAATCGGCGTTCGGGCGGAAATTGAGAAATATTGATTAAAAAGGCCGGCGGGCAAGAGACGAAAGACGAGCTGACGTTCTCCTTCCCCCTTGTCAATTTCTCGACCCGTCTTATCAGTCTTAACCTTCGCCCCTCTCGCCTATTTTTTCGTTCATATCCTCGGGGCATGCGGCGTTTTTTCCTCCACCTAATTATTCGGTTTTATAACTTTTTTTATTCCCTCCGATTTGCTTTATCAATTCGAGCGGCCGCGGAGGGCGAGAAGCGCTGCTTTTGTAGAGTTTGTTCGGTCGACTGCATTAGTTCCCGTTCTACAAAAGGAACATGAATTTATCGTAAACATTCGCGCTTGAGACTCAAAATTTTTTTTTCGAGTTTCTAACTGTCTGTCCCGGGCCCCCTAATTTTACCCATTTAAAGTTTTAATTCGCCTTCAGGCGTCCTAATTTGATCAAACGTTTCCCAGTTCCGTTCGCTTTTTTTGTCACTTTCAAGAACAATTAATTTTTTAAGTTTTTTGAATTTTAAAATTCTTAAGCCTCTTTTCGAACACTGCTCCTTTCCATAATTCATTTATTTCCAATCATGCCCTGAGGCGGCAAGGTTTCGTTGATGCCCTAAGGCATCAAGATTGTTCGATTTTGGCGGGCAACATGCCAACGGATTAGACGGGATAGGGTTTCCTTGTGTTGGCATCAAAAGACCTAAATTTTGCGACTGTTTCAATTTGCATGCACTTTAATGGGGTTCCGAAAAAGAAGTTTTAATTTTCGCAAAAATTCTTTCAAACCTCTCTTAGCGTTTAATGGCATTTTTAAGGCTCAGTTATTTTCATCTTGTGCCTCGGGGGGCTAAATTGGAGATCGTTTTTCGTTTTTACATTACAATTACTACTTGCGGGGGCACTACCCCAAGTACGACGCTCAGGTTTTGATAAAATTTTGCGCAAATTTAGAATCATTTTTCTAAGAGATAGGAGAGATTTCTAGCTCGCATTTTGCAGAAATGTCCTAGATTTTTATGTCAAAAGGTGGAAAAAATACGACACTTTTCCTATTTTTACTGCAGAGAGTAATTTTCCCACAAAAAAAAAATAGATTTTTTCCTTAGGAAATTAGCAAATAAACGGTTCTTTTCTGTGCTCACTCTCCGCATTTTACGTACTCTCTCGGCCAAAAAGTCGAATATATCGGATGCGCCTGCCAACCGCATGCTAAAACATTTGCATCTAATGCATCATCTTCTGAAGCTGCTTATGAGAAGAGCTAACTAATTAGAGCTCTTTAAAAAATCCCTTCGTCTCTGTGACCCTACTATAATATTATTTATTACTATGTAATAATCCAGTCATCCCGTCCCCGCTTCCCCTCCAATAGATTAACATTTGCATCAGCAAGGAGCACCTTGGTTTTTAAAATTTATTGTGCCGGAAATTGCCTTTACCGGCCCAAACCCTGGCTTAACCTTTCGCGCAACGGGATTCGCGGATTTCAATTACCCTTTTGTCGCTGTAATTGCAAATGTGCACCGGAGGAATCGACCGCAAATTTTAAGCCCGCCAATTAATAACCGCGTTCTTTCGCTTTTCCGTACAAATTTCTCCGCTGTAAAATTGGATTAGCGGGCTCGGATTACGCGACGCAATAAGCCCATTACAGTATAGTGGGGATAATGAAATTAGGCCGAAAACATGGTACCGTACGTGACAAATGGCAATGGGTTTCGGCGCCGGATATGGGGGCATTCAGGTGTTTTTGGACACGATCATGGGATTACACTCTTTTCCCTGGATTTAAGTCATGTTTTTGGGAAAACGGACGGAGATTTGCGGATGGTTTAGGATCTGGGCATGACTCTGACGCTTGTAAATTCCTGGGATGCAGTCCTAATGAGTCTGGGGTACTGTAACATATATATATTTACAATTATTTCTATAGGTCCGCAAGGTATCTTTGGAGTGAAAAAAATCGTAATTGTGGTTAATTTTTATATGAAAAAACTATTAAAATGTATAGAAAGATTGAAAAAAGGTCCAAAAATTTTTTTCACACGAAAAAATACATTTTTTGGTATCCAGGATATCTCAAAAATCCCTCCAAATGTCATCTTAAAAATGCATTTTCATCTTTTTTTTAGACCCAGCCTTAAAAATCCATGTGTTTCTCCGCGAACGATGTGCTCTAATTCACAATAATCTCAATATTTTTTACATTTTCCCAATGCAATTTTGGCTCAGCGACCGCCCATGCTTCAATTATCCCAAGGTTTTTAAATTTGAGAAATCTCTGAAATTGAGTTCTCTCTAATTACGGCGTTTCTGTGTTCGTCTCCGCAATATTTCCCCTCAATTTGTTTGTAGGTTTCATTTCTTTTCCACCTCTTCCACCTACCCGCAAAACTTTGCCTGTCCAGTAGAAAAAACGTTGGCCAGGTTCCGCCCTGAGGGCGCGAACAGCTCGCGGCCGTTTCAGCCAATGAGCATGGAGCGCATTCCGGGTGCTTTTTACACCGAAACAACAACGTGTCCTTCTCTAATCCTCTTCTTCGCATTTTTCGAAAAACATTCCGAGAAGGGCGGGGCCAGTTCCAAACTCACAATCCGGCACGATGAATATACTGGATAGCCGAGGGGCCCGAGGGCATTCTATTGTATCGATGAGGGGTTTCGAATTTTGCCTGCGGCAATATTACTGTGCCTTTCTTTCAGTTTTGGGAGCTTTGTTTTTTTGGAGCTTTGCCATTTTTCGAGTCGATATAATCTTGCGCGATCGCTGACAAATCCTTTGCAAATTAATACATCGATAATTTCAGAGGGTCTTTCATCTCCACACACAACACTCACCGATCTAAACCCCTTCCAAATCAACTTTTAGCCCATCAAATCAACGACTTCGACAATTTCCAACAACACTCAGCTCGAGCACATCGATGAGCGCCTAATCCCTCGACAATCGACCGCTTTCGTACCCAAAACTTCAACGGGCCCACCTCCAAATGGTTGTGAACGTTGAGCGCGACAGCTGTGGAACGCTCTCATTCGCCAAAGACTCGTTGCATTTGCAGAACCTCGCCATGAATCAGCAGCAGAACTCGCGGTCCGAGTCCTCGCCCTCGTCCAGCCACTCGAACGAGATGAGCGGCGATGCCGAGGGCGTGTGGTCGCCGGACATTGACCAGGCCTTCCACGAAGCCCTGCAGATCTATCCGCCCTGCGGTCGGCGGAAGATCATCCTCAGCGAGGAGGGGAAGATGTACGGGCGAAATGAGCTGATCGCAAGATACATTAAAATACGATGTGGCAAGACAAGGACGCGGAAACAGGTTTCAAGTCATATTCAAGTGTTGGCAAGGAAGAAACATCGGGAATTGCAGAGCAAAGTCAAGGTATTCTTTTGTGATTTTTATCAAAAATTGTCCCGCGCAACCGACGGTTTCCCAAAAACATTTCTGCTATCTTTCTGTTCGTATTCTTCTCTTCGAGGACCCAGTTGATCGTCGAACTCGGATTATAATTCAATTTTTTGTAAAAATATAGATTGTGGGTTTTCCATTGATTGTAATTGTGGTTACGAAACGCTGGAAATGGTGTTATTTCGAGTGGGGATTAGGGGTTTTTCACGACAGGGAAATCTCTCTCGAGAACTGGGCTTCTTAACTGGTCCGGGCCGCGAATACAGTACAGTTCTGGGAATTCGAGTCCTGACTTGACCCGTTTCTCTGATATGTAAACGGATTATGCCCTGATTCCGATGTATGGCCCGCTAAATTCTCCTCTTCGCACAAATGCCTGGTGCTATATAGCGATGAGAGTAACGTTAGTTTCATTCCAGACGCAAGAAGTCAAAACCGAGGATCTCTCGAACCCGCCGCCCTCCGAATTCACCCCGCCATCCCTGCTCACGCACACCCCCCTCACCACAACCGCAATCTCAACGCCCTCGATGCAGATGGCGTCCCAGAACCTGCTCCACAAGTCCATGGTGGACCACGCCAAGGTGCAGGCGTTGGCCGAGGCCGCTGTCGCGGCGGTGGCGGCGTCGGCGGCGAACAACTCCACCCTGCCCATCTCCACGAACACCTCGCCCGATGCGGGTGCGCTGGCCGCATCCACAGGTCTGCCTTGGCAGTACATGGTGCCGGGGATGTTCAACAACAACTTTTACGGAAATGTCTCGATGTAAGTTCCGTTTCGAACGTATTCGCCCACTTCTTCGAATTCTTTGCCTACAGGGGATTTCGGAATCTTTGAAACCCCGTATTTCCCAAATTCCAACCGGTAGCCAAGTATGTGAGGTATGCGAGTTTATACGGAAAATGCCCGGAAGGCCGTTAATCCCCTTTCCTGTTTATGGACTCGAATTCCAGTTGCTTGTTAGTCATACCCGCAGGGGATTAGCAGCTGCGGTTATTGAGCATTGGTCAAGGGCTTTGTCTTTTTGTCTTTTTTTTTGTGCCTTTGTCTGCAAGGGTTAAGCGATTCCGAAAATCGCCAGCACAGATACAATAAAAACTATTTCGGGGGAGTTATGCAATCTTTTTGTTGGGAAACATTGTATTATTAATCTTTGTGGCAGAATATTACAAAACACACCTTTTTTCATATCTCAAATTTACAAAATAATTTTTTCGTATTTTAGGAATAACGACGAGAATCTTTACACGCAATTTGCGGCCGCCGCGCTCTCCGCTCAACAACAAATGAACACCGCGTTCGGCGGCCAATCCAACGGCAACGCCAACGGCGCTGCGTCCTTGATTGGGGCGATGCCCGTCCTCAACAAACTCCTTCCCCAACTCCCGCTGAACGCGGGCCCCTCATCGCTGCTCGGCGGATCTCCCCCATTCCCCGCGAACCCCGAGGTCCCCACGCTGTCGATCAAGTCGAGCAAACTGAGTTTGGCCGGCTTCAGCGCCTACGTGGACATGACTGTGAACGGGCAGAGGGAGCGGACGGAAATGGTGAAGATCCCCAAGTTCGCGGACGAGCCCCAGGATCGGATCTCGTTCGCCACAATCGGCGGGAAATATCCCCCCAAACTGCAGGAGCTTTACAATCAAGGCCCCAAGGACGCGTTCTTCCATGTCAAGGTCTGGGCCAACATTGATTTCGAAACAAGCGAGGAGGGAAACCCGTTGTACGCGGTGGATGAGAACTATGAAAGCCCATACGAATTCCCCATTAATGTGTCCACAAAGCTGTGCTCGTTCGGAAAACAACAGGTCGAAAAAGTTGAGGTGAGCAAAAATTTTTAAGGATTTTATTTTTTGAGTGAAAAAAAACCGAATTTTTTATTCGATTTTTAAACTTCTCACATTTTTTTCGACATTCGAGACTTCAAATCGTCTTTTTTTCTAAAATTTTTGCAAAACACAAAAATTTTACAAATGCTTGGGGTTCAGCTCCTACTCCCCAGTGTAAGTAAACCACCACCTTCCAAACACCGGGCATTCCATTAGTCAGCTTCAGAAAATTTCCCAACACGCAAAGTTTGACATATTTTTGTGAGGCCAGAAATTTGAACCGAACGGAGTCTTGCGTGATGTTTTCGGTTCAGTCACCGCTCTAAGGTTTTCGTAACTGTAATTCCCAGAAAACGGAGGGGTTTTTTTATTAATTGGCATTTAATAATCAAATAAAAAAATGAAAACAAAAAATGTAACAAAAATTTAAAAAAAAAAAAACTAATTTTTCGCCTACTGTAGGCCGTATTTTACAAATCTATTTTCGCCGCTTTACTGTAAAATACAAAGGGTGCGGAGAATGACGACAATGAATCATTGCACAATTAAAGGTTGTACAATATCCTCAGAAATTTTCGGCCGAAGAACAATTCCTTCTTTTGCTCACAACGTTTTTTTCAAATTTTGTAGCTTGTTCGCTCTTTGGGTTTGTAGGTAGCGATTTGGGAAAGGCAAATAATCGATGGAGACAATGTGTATTCAGTTGTGGCGTTTTTTGAACACATGGCTTAATGAGAATGGGCTGTGTGAACTTTAAAAATTGCATTTTCTCAAAGGATATGAAACAGATCCCAATGAAACTTGTCGCAGATTCAGATCAGCATTTTTTGAGAAAAATAATCAGCGGTTTCTTTGAAAAAACGAAAAAAATTGCAAAAAGTTTCTTCTCTGACCGTCTCTCATCATTTTGCATAGTCTCTCGTCTGTTGATGAATATCTCGGCTGTTTTTGTTAGATACGGGCTAAAATTTTCAAAGATTAAAAAGTATGAAACAAGCAATATTTTTATGAGAATTTACTATTTTTTTATTATTTTTAACTATCAAAAACCCCAAAAACTTTGAAAAAAACCCTTTTAGACCATTCTAACCCACTCTTCTTCCAGGACGCAACCAACACCTCCGGCGAGGGCCCCGTGCACAAGTATCAGCTGGAGGGCTCGCCCATGTGCGACTATATGGTGCAATTCATCACCGAGCTGAAGAAGCTGCAGAACTACGAGCTGATGAACTCGGTGCTGGACAACTTCACCGTCATGCAGACGGTGACGGACAAGGCCAGCGGCGAGACCCTCATGGTTATTTGTTTTTCGTTTGAGATTTCGCCCGAGCCCGAGCCGTCCTGTCGCATCTACAAGATTGTCGACTAACTTAATGATATCCCTAATTTTATTGTCATTTCTTTGGAAGGCGAATTGCTTGAGGGGTGAGGGCGCAGATTTGGATGAGAATTTGGGAAAAGATTTTTTGTGTGGTGAAATTTGATTTTCAAAAATTTTAGCTCACGCTTTGCAAAACTAGTTGAGATTTTCAAAAGTTTTTGTCAAAAAAGACTGTGAAAAATGAGGAGAGACGGTAGAAAAAACTACTTCTATTTTTCATCTAAAAATCTTGATAATTTTTTGCAAAGCACGAGCTAAAAATTTAGATTTCTCTTACCAAATCTTGACCTAAATCTGTGCCAAATTTCATCAAAATCTAAGCAGTTTCCCTCGAGCAATCTCCCTTTTTTGGTTGCATTTGGAAGGATTTTTCATTTTTTTCAAAAATCAAACTTTGAAATTTTCTCATTTCTCATCGATTACAACACAAATCCCCTCCAAATCAGACTGTTCTCTCTCTGTTACAGCGACTATTTCAAACGCGTTGACTTGTCCTAAACAAAAATTCCTCAAGTTTTGTCTAAAATATTGCAGCAATTCAGTCATTTTTTGGTTAGTTTCTCTTGTCATGTACAGTATTCCCACTAATAAGGTTTGCATTTTTGTCTCGTTTCTATCCGAATAATTAAATTGATATCATCGTAGGCCTCCAAATTCTCGCGTTTTTCCAGTGTTAGAAGTTGGGTTTGAACGACGTTTCGTATAATAAAACGCAAAAATAAACAGGTTGGATTCGAATTTTTGAGGGGGGATTACTGTAATCCCTGCGGATTAAAGAGAAATTTGGGGAGAAAGCGGGGCTAAAATACGTGGGAAGAGCCGTGAATAGAGCTTTTCCAGAGCCGAATTTCCAATTTTCTGATGATTTTCCGTTTCAAATTCGAGATTATCGAGAGTTACTGTAATTCCAGTCAATTTAAAGGAAATTTGAAGCTTAAAACAGCCAAAATTTTGTAAGATTTTGATTGAAAATAACAGAAATCTTACTGTAAATTCCACATCTTTTGTCCGAGCTACAATCTCACTTCAAATCTTCTGCAATTACCGTATCCCCCCGAGGCTACATTTACGATTCCGAGAGCTCCGTGGGCGGCTTAGTTTGTTTGCCATTTCCCAATTTCATTGTATTACTGGATTACGGTAGTCTGATCGGTTCTGAAACTTTTCATCCCCTGCGGCATTAGAGAGAGGGATTCCAAGTTTTGAGGATTTGAAAAAGTTCAGATTGCTCTTTACAATGATAGAGTGCGTGTGTTTCTTGCGCTCTATATCAGCGATTCTTGATACCTTCTTTTTGGCAAGATGTAATTTTGATTTTTCAGGCCCTTAGAAAACAGTGAAGTTATGTCAGTTTTATCAATGAATATTATGCAAAAATACAGTCAAATTTGCCGAGGCTTGAGATTATTAGTGCTTTTCCAGGTAGTCCTTGAAACAATCGCGGATTTCGTTGAAGGATTCGACGCAGAACAAGTAGTCCAAGTAGTTGGTGGGGACTCCATCGTGAGCGGCGCAGTATTCGAGACACTTTCCGCTGACTCCCTTCGCCTTACAGCATTCGGTGTGATCGTGACGAGAGGAGGCGCAGTCCCACATGTGACCGACGGTCTTTCCGCGCTCGGTACAGGTCGAGAGGTAGTTTAGGACCTGGAAAATTAGGGTGTTTTTGATATAGGGGCGAGTTATAGAGGCTCAAACTCGGAAAAACTGAAGGTTGTTTTGATAGGGGATGCGCTAGATACGAAGCTAATATCAACGTAAAATTTTGCGTGCTAGATTTACTTTGTTCACCCATCAATTTTTAGTGATTTTAGCTGACGTTTTGAGGAGAATTTTTAGATATTTATCTACGGAAAAGCAGCCAAGACGACCAGGTCCCAATACCAACAAAAAAAGACTTACGTTAGCCTGAGAAATGGCCTCGAAATCGCAGAATCGGCTCACACATTCCTTGTCATCGTCCTTCAGCTTCGAACAGCATCGTTTCAGCTTCTCGTTGGCGTCCAAGGCGAAGCAAACGGTGCTCAAAGCGGCAATGATTAGGACCGAACGCATGGCTTTGGACCCTGAAATGTTATTCGTTGAACTCTGTCAAAAAATTGGAATACAAGTGGAGTAGTCGGAATTACAGGTGGTGAAACAATAACTTAAAGTTTAACTAAAAAATGGAGCACTCTTTGAAAATCTTATACTACAATAAGGAAGCTGAAAAAAGTTTGAAAACGCTGACAAATCAGCGTGGTTTAAGTAACTATTAGCTTGACAAAAATTTTCAAAATTGTTTTTCCTCTTACCCTAGTCTTTTAACAACTCTATTAGACCCAAAAAAATCGCTTGAATCCCCTCCTTTGTTCCGAATGCCCCCCACAAAAGCCCTTCCCGACCAACATCCGTCTACTCCTGATCTACCCCTTATATAGTCATATCTCTCATAACCTATAACCCACCCACCGGCAGATAAATCCCTTCTCTCCACACTTCTCGATCCCCTTTCTTATCAATTGCCCGAATCATCGCCGGTAACCCAGATTCGCGGCGAGAGTTTTTTTTTTTTTTTTGATCCCAAGCTTTCACTCTCGCCCGGAAAAAACAAGAAAGGTAGTGGATAAAAAATTTGATTTTACGCTGATTATCCAGTTACTTATAAAGTGAGAAGAACAGGGATTTTCATCTTAAAAGCCATTTAAGATGACAGCTTTTGTTGGCGTTACTGACATGTTGCGATAAAAATAAACGGGGAGAATGTTCGAGATACGAATTTCTTGGATCTGCGGATATGCTGAGATTTCCACCATACAGACGTGGTTGTCAATTGCTCGCGTATAAGGATGTTACAAACAAAGAATCAGAGCTTTCTCACAGGGGAAGTACCCCAAGTGCGATAAACAGATTTTGATGAAACTTGGCACAAATTTAGAATATTTTTTCCAAAATATATGCGAGAATCCTCGCTAGCGCTTTGCAGAAATAACCGAGATTTATAGATCAAAAGTCGGCGAAAATTTAACACTTTTTCCCGAATTTCGGCACAAAAATTTTCAGTCGTTTTTTTAGCATATATAGAGGGTAATGTCTGCACAAAAAAAGCAATTTTTTTTCGCACGAAACTAGCAAAGTTATGGCCAAAATGTGTTTTTCTCTCTGACCGCTCTCCGCGTTTTCCGTACTCTCACGGCGGCAAAGTTAGCTCAATATCTCGGTGGCGCTTGCAATGCGCGAGCTAAAAATTTGATATCTTAGAATTGCTTTTTTGTTAGTTCATGCCTGACGTGCAAGATTTCAAGAAAATATGAGCGTCGCACTTGTGGTACTTACCTTGTTATACATAGTATTTAAAATTCAAAGTAATCTTGATGTCCCTTCTCTGCTCGGCTCTTCCCTGTTTTTGCAACTTACTTGTCGTTGAACAGGCCTTTAGCATGCAGCTTAGAGCCTCTATATTTACTCGAGGTATAATCTATTGTAATTTCTTCTCAAGAATTCCCAGAAAGCCAAAACATTGAGTTCTAAAGCCCCCTTTATTTTTCTGGTCACTTGTGTCTAATCAGCCTAATCACGTCAACCAATGCCTCGATTGGACTTGTGCGTCTTGACGGTTTCTTTTCTCAATTTGTGCCACTTTTTCCGGTCTCATCATAACCAGTTAATGGAGTAATGAAGAACGCGGATTAGAAGGTGAAATCTGACCTCTGCACCTGTCTGCGGGATCAAGACGGATTCGCCATCGGGAGAACATAAATCGGCGACCCATTCGGAGCCAATTCATCATCTCAGTGACCCTTTTTTTCGATACTTCCAACCGAGTGCTTGGATAAGAAGTTCCGTTTTTTTAAAGTACAACTGTCGCTGTGAAATTGAGTCAATTTTCTGATATTTGAGTCATCATTTATTAGCTGGATGTAGGTTCGGATGAGTCGAATAAAAGATCAGGATTTGTTTGTGAAACGGATGGATGACTCTTTCGTTTTTTACTTTATCAAGAAATTTCGCAACGATAACTTGGTTTCAAATCTTGATAAGAACTTGTCAGGCGGCTGACTCAACAGAAAGGAATGTGTTATTCATTGAAGATTAATTAATTGCTTTCTTATCTTGCTTGAAATTGAACACAAAGATATACTCAAAAAAACAGTGGCTACGATGTTATAAGAAGATCTGGCAAGTATTCAAGATCAAATACATAACTCCGTTTGCCTTTTTTAAAAGGCAACTTACGGTGGCGGACACGATCCATTGGCCAAAAACGTACCACTTTGCCTCCGGGATGTATCAAAAATACAGCAAAAATATGTGAGGGAAATGGCAAGCCCTTCAAACCGGAGTTTTTTTTAGTTGGAGAGGGAGGCATTTTGCCACATTTTTTATACTTCCCGGATGCAAAATGATACGTTTTTTGCCACTGGATCAGATCCCTCACTGCAAAAATGTTTTCCAAAATTCGATTGAGGCTTTCATTTTCTAGGTTTATTACTATTAGTAAGTTCATCTTTTAAACTCGTCATTGTAAAGTCATCTTCATCTTCCATGTCTATCTCATCAACAAAACTCTCTTCATCTTTCTTGTATTCATAGTAAAATATTGACAGAAGAGTAAAGACTACCATGGTCACCGTCATCAGGCCACAGAACAAGAAGAAATAAACAGCCATGTTCCTGGAGAATGAGATTTTTGTAATCCCAATCAGCAACAAATCTCCAATGGCGTTGGTTAGGAGGAAGAGGGAACCTAAAGTAATATTGTAACCTGAGGCAATATTGTTATTATTATCCAATAATACAGCAATTGGAGCTGTCATACGATGATTACGACCACTTACTGACGACAGATTTCATTGACGGCGCCGCTTCTTGATATGAAAATTCCAACCCGGTAACGGCGATCAAGATTTCTCCGATTGACATTACAATAATTTGAGGGACTTGCCACATGATGGAGACATTATTATCGGGAACTGACTGGAATACTGTAACATCTGGGCTGTTGTGCTTGCCAGTAAATGAGATTACAAAAAGACCGCCATGTGCCTTTTGGGTGTATTGATAATTAGTGTCGATTACTTTGAGATCTTTCTTTGAAACTCGAGGATTACCGGAGAGGTAATATAAACACCATCTGAAAGGGAAATTGGTGAGAATATATTTGTCACAGGAGATCTAGTTGAGCAAGCTAAAGATTTGGACAAGGTCAATTTAATTTCAATTTTCTGAAACTTTTTTAGACTAGGGTTTTCTAAGGCCACCGAGAAATTAACAAGGCTAACACAGGGATTTCGAATTTTTGTATGACTGCCCTATAAGTGACTCAAAATCTCTCTTTCCAACCTACAGTGGCGGGCCTAAACCATTGGTCAAAAACGTACCATTTTGCAGCAAAACACCTCATTTTCCAAGTGAAAAAAACCCCGATTTCAAAAGCGCGCCCACTCTTTTTGTGAGGGAAAGGGTGAACAGTTCAAAACGGAGTTTTTTAGTTGGAGAGGGAGGCATTTTGCCACATTTTTGATACTTCCCGGATGCAAAATGTCACGTTTTTTGCCACTGGATCAGCTCCCTCACTGTTTACCCAAAACTCACATTCCACGCCGAACTTCTCGATGTTTGAAAACCACAGCTGTTTTTCGATGACTCCCGCCTGCATAATCGTAGATATCCTGCACATCAGAATCGCCGTTCTTATCCTTATATTGGGTCACATAATAAAAGTCATCCGGGCTCTGGAAATCGCAAGGCTTTGTAGGCGTTTTATTTTCATTAATAACACGACAAAAGGCAATTCCATCAGTGAAGTTGGCCTTTGTCCGTGGCAACAATGACTCTGCAAATAATCAAGTTATTACAATAAAGTTTTAAACTTTTCTAAGGTCATCAAAAACTGTTATACTTACGACACAGAATGTCCGCCATTTCCGGAAACCGGCTTGTCTGTTGAGGTGTTTGCAAAGAAGAACCCATTCTGGCTGAGATGAAGGTATCCATATTCGTATTTTACGTCAATTGTTATTTCAGTTGGCAAATTGGCACAACTTTTTGGGTCATACTCAATACTAAATTCTTGTTGACCATGTTTTAGATAGAATAAATTAGATCCATTTGAAGTTTCTAAAGCTGTTAGAGGAGGCAGGGTTACTCCATTATGCCCTTGTGAAGCAACAGAAACTCGGCAGCTGGGCAGACCGTTAATGACGGAGATATAAGTGAATCCTTTGTCTGGAATCGGCGCCAAAGACTTCTGAAAAATATCGGACTTGCTGAAAAACCGCTCCCAACTTTATTCTGCACGAAAGATAGAAAAAAGACGAAATTGGACTTACAGGGGAAGTACTCCAAGTGCGACGCTCAGATTTTTATAAAACTTGGCACAAATTTAGATTAATTTTTTCTAAGATATATGCGAGAATCCTAGATCGCGCTTTGCAGAAACAACCGAGATTTTTAGATCGAAAGTCGGCCAAAATTTAGGACTTTTTGCGGAATTTCGGCACGAAAAGTTTCATGCCTATTTCTCCCATAAAGGATAATGTTTCTACAAAAAATCAAATTTTTCCGCACGAAACTGGCAAAGTTATGGCCAGAAATCGTTTTTCTCTCTGACCGCTCTCCACGTTTAGCGTGCTCTCTCGGCGGCAAAAATCGTTTGATATCTCGGCGGCGCCCGCAAAGCGCGAGCTAAAACTTTCAGGAATTGATATTTAGTCCATATCCGACGTGTGTGCAAAATTTAAAGAAAATCTGAGCGTCGCACTTAGAGTACTTCCCTGTAAAATTAAATATTTTACAGGGTGGGGCATCTTTGTGGCCCAACTTGAATTGGCTATGACTTCTTTAGTTTTTGACCAAATTTTAAAATTCTTTTTTCCCTGAATCCTCAGACAACCCCATTTCGTTTAGTACCAAACATGTTATACATAGGTAAGTGTCATCTACAGTTATTGGATTTATTCTTGGAGTTCATTTTTTCGGAAAATAAGACGAAATTTGACATAAAAATGGATTATTTTACATTGCTTTGTCATTAAATCAACTTACGTTAATTTCCAGTTGGACAACGCCGGCGAAAAGGAACGCGAATACCACAATGAACCCGCCAACGCACATTTTTCGTAACGGCCTGGAAAATATTGATAGAATATAGTGTATGGAAGAGATATACTGTCATTTTAATGACATTTTTAAAATAGAATATCTTTGCTATTTGCAGATTAACAATTTTGGTCTATTAAACCGTAAAAAAAAAATTTTTCTTTACTAATCAAAATTTAGAGCAATTTGTGCCAACTTACGTGAGCTTAACCCATTTCCCGACCACCGGATAAATCACAAACGTGAATAGGGGGACCAACCCCAACACCAGGACAACGCTGATCAACGCCATTTGATCTGGCAACCAGAGCACATCTCCCCATAATCTGCCGTCCATTTGGAGGGCCTAGAATACCACTCAAATATTTGGCTTTCACCGTAAAACTACCTGAATTGTCATCACGCCGGCCTGTTGATCAATGAGCGCATAATACATGGGCAATGGGATGAACATGATCATTACACGCAGCAATGACTTGACGTCGTTTATAAAGATCATTCTAGCACAAGCAGCTGGAGTCTTGGACCTCCTCTTCAGCTTCAGACAAGCTAAATTGGTGTTACAATCATGGTTGTAAAGAGAATGCTCTAACCAATGAGCTCTGGCAGATGAATCGTGGAATTTCCCGATAACGGCTCGCTGAATTTGAGTAGAATATTTGAATTTTGAAGACTTACAGATATCAAGGAGATAACATCAAATATAACATTTGATTTGACTGGTCGTTTTTTGTACCAACAACTTCCTGAGGCAAATATTACTGAAAAAATAAAGGTAAGGCATCGAAATGGAATCGAAAACCCCGAAAAAATCCGACATTTCTCGGTGATTTTCAACCGAAAAAACACTGGTTTTTGGGGTAGGAATGCCTCTACTTCAGAAGGTCGTAGCGACCTCAGTTTGCATTTTAAAACCTTGCTATTTTGTAGACAAAAACTAATATCGCTTAAAAATACGTATTCCAAGAACTAACTCTCTGCGCCGCCTCCGCCGGAAGTTATAGCCTCCGACTTTCCTTCACGTTTTTTGTAAGACCCTGTAAAATTAAAGGCTGATGAGAAAACGGCAAGGTTTCATCTACAGGGCCACATCTTGAGCGGCTCACCTCTACATAATTTCTAATTTACCTGTAGAAATAATCATCAAAATCGCCGGAATCCCAAACGCCAACGGATAGCAATTGTCTTGTCCAAGACAGGATAGAGCTGAAAGTCGCGCAGACGGTTAAAAAATTGAATAAAAATTAGGAAATCCAAAAATACGACCATAAAATCTACGTACATCTGAAAATCGGCGAGACAAAAGTCGCACCCAGTGCACCCACATTGATCGTGAAATAAAAGATGGCCACGAACATGGACAACATTTTCGCTTCGTGTTTTTCAAACTGATCTCCCCCAAATGTCATGGCGCATGGTTTTATTCCGCCAGTCCCGGTGGCGATAATAAAGAGTCCCAAAAAGTCGAAAAGCGGATGAAACGACCAGTCGGACGGATTTGCGGAGCTATAGGTCAGCAATATTTGTCCGGCTGTGTAGTACATTGATAGAATTAAGATTGTTCTGAAAAGAGGTGGAGAAATGATGACATTGTATGGGAGGTTTTCTCTAGACTTTTCATTACACATTGTGTTTAACGCAGAAGACTGTGGCTTAAAATTAAAACTACCGTCAAACCTTTGTATAACGCATCACAAAGAACGAAAAAATTGGGTCATTATAAGGAGTACCCTGCTCCACGAAATGAAAGACGCACCCTATTTTTAGCGATTATCTTCCTTATACTGAATTATATCCAAAAATGTTCAACAGATGAAATGTGGCAGATTAAACGAGAAGTCATGTCCCGTAGCGATTTTGAAACAAAATTTTACCTTGACTGAGATATGACATTTTTTAGACTTTTTTGGATATTAGGTCGTCCAGAAAGTTCGTTCGTTTTTTCATTGCATTGTTTTACGAGGATTGTTTAGTGTTTGGCAAAGAGGATGGTATTTATTTGATACAGCCAGTTTGGTAGAGGAGAAAAAGCTGTATCAAATAAATTTATTCCATTTGCCAAAAAACATATATTCCTTGGAAAACAAAGCAATAAAAAACGAACCAACTTTCTGGACGACCTAATATTTACGTTGTTATACAAAGGTCAATTTTAGACCCAAAATGACTTTTGTGGCCTCTGAAATTGCTCGTTATAGGCGGGCTTCGCTGTGTCGGAGTTAACCGTACAGAGGTTCTACTGCGCAATACAATGTGTTGACTCAATGAACCTACTTAAACCTCCCGATGAATCCATCCGCCAAAAACGAGCCAATTAAAGACGATCCATACGCAATAAACGCAAAAAATGTGAAAAATGTTATCGTGCTTTCATTGCTAAAGTTCAAAACATTCAACAAATACAAGGCGAGAACAGCTAAAAACGTATCAAACAAAATTTTAGTGTAAAATACGGATGCCAAAGAACTCTGAAGCACTCACTTCTCATTCCATAAAACGAGAATCGCTCGCAGAATTCGTTCCCAATAATCATAAACGTCACCATTGGCCATTTTTTGAAAATTTCGGAGTAAGTTTCCGCTGGTTTTGGGAACTCCTTTCGCCGGCCATTTTCTGCCATTGTAAAGACTCAAATTATAGAAAAATAATTGGGAACTTGAAGATACCTTATACAGGCGAGCCCAATTATAGTTTGTTTTATCTCCGACGTCATGGTTTATAGGCCGCTGATAAGGTACTCGGGATGCAAGCTCCAATTTCTCAATTTTTATTTTTTTTTTTGAGGTCACAGTGGAGAGAGAGGAGCGATTGGACGTATTTTACTTCTGTATTATCACCTTTCGTTTGCTAAGCAAAATTAAACTCTTATCACTTTTGAGGATAGGCCGTCAAAGATTTGTCCAAATGAAAATGCGACTAACAAGGGAAATACCCAAAGTGCGACACTCAGATTTTCTTTACAAGGAAAGTACTTCTATGGGGTATGGAGTTATAGGTCTAGTGATATAAAAAAAATTCGCAAAATTTTTCTGATTCTTAATGTGTAAAAATTAGCTGCCTAATTTTGGTTTGTAAGGGTGAAAAAATTCCCAGAACTTTTCTCGCAACACCATGAAAATGCGACTTTTTTACATTGGAACTACTAATTAAGTTGTGTTGTATAAATTAAATTTGATATTTTAAGGCTTGTAAAGATACCAGAGTTTACTTTAGCTCAAAACAAAGCTTTTGATTTAGTAAAAACTTGGTCAAAAAGGCATTTGCGTGGTGTTTCGAGAAAAGTTTCGAGGGTTTTTTCACCCTAACAAACCAAAATTAGGCAGCTAATAATTTTTACATATTCTGAATCAGAAAAATTTTGCGAATTTTTTGATATATCACTAGACCTATAACTCCATACCCCATAGAAGTACTTTCCTTGTTAAATTTTGGGCATACGGCGGTGATGAACTAAGTATCAATTCCTGAAAGTTTTAGCTAGAGTACGCGAAACGCGGAGAGCGGTCAGAGAGAAAAACACTTTTTGATCATAACTTTGCCTTCGTGCGGGAAAAAAATTATTTTTTGTGGAAACATTACCATCCTCTATGGTAGAAATAAGCATGAAACTTTTCGTGCCAAAATTAGACAAAAAGTGTCAAATTTTCGCCGACTTTCGATCTAAAAATCTCGGTTGTTTCTGCAAAGCGCGAGCTAGGATTCTCGCTTGTATTTTAGAAAAAAATATTCTGTATTTGCGCCAAATTGGGGTACTTCCCTTGTAAGCGTATATTGGAATGTTCAAAGCAACTTTTCCTGTATTTGAATCACAAACACCCATTTTATTTTTTATACGAAAAATTTCAAAAAAATCTTCCTCAACTTGCCGATTTATTAACTCAAAACTCTGAAATTAATAAAAATTGTCATTTCATTACTGTCATTTTGACATCCTGCTCTAAATTTTTTTGATTAGATATGACAGACCTTTACTATCACTATTTTCAAATTTACATAATTTACAGAACCCGGGCGGGTTCGAATAAATAGACTTGGTACAAAATGTTAAATCTACAGCAATTTACAATGGCTGGGACAAATATTTTTGCAGGCTACCCGAGGGGTTAGTCCTCGCTTTTGGAGGGGCCAGCGCTGTCATCGAAGCCGAAGCCGAGGATCTCGCAAATGTGGCGAGGGAGTTTGTCCTGGACGGCGGCCAGCTGATGGAAGGTGGCTTCGGCGTCGCGGAGGACTTTGCTCAGGTCCAGCTTCATGGACATGTTGTTCACATGCTGAAAACAAAAGATCATTATATTATACTTGACAAAAATAGTGAAAAAAAATTCAGCAAATCCCGAAATTATTGCTTCTAAAAGCCAAAATCAGCGCAAAATTTCATAAAAATCTAAAATACGTCTAGCAATCGTATCCAATGCCCATCTTTAATCAAAAAATTTCCATAAAATCCCCTATAATCCCCCAAAATTTTCTCCTTACCTTCAAGATCTCGGTTAGACCGAATTTATTAACAATTATCATATTTTCTTCCCCATCCAGAATGGCGGCACATATCAGTAAGAGGAAGTTCTTGCAGGGGATATCCGACCACAACACCTCCCACAATCTCATGATATCATCGAAGCCGAATTCCCGCTTGAAAGCCACCAAAATCCATCGGAAACAGAAGTACATGTGGTCCGAATCATGACCTTCTACAAAGACAAACCTTCAATATCAGGTTCAAAAATCGATTATACCGTCAAAAAAAGTCTAAAAATTGTAAGATAACCGCGCTCTTACCCAAATAATTGGTCAATTTTGGATTTACAATCTCCAAAAGAGCTCTCAGGTCGGCCAATTGTTTTTTAATCGCGAGCTGATCCATTTCAAAGTTCTTGTGGACACGTCTCATGAGGCCAGTGAACGTCCAAAACGCATCATATTCGTTCTCCATTACAACGAGCAGAGGGGACAGGTAATCGGACATTCCTTGGACATACCCCAGATCGAAGTCATACATAACATAGGTCATGAGGATGTCCTTGAGGAGGGCGAGGTTCTCCTTGTTCCGGAAAAATGGGTGAGAACGGTCGGTTCGGTTCACATCTTTGTCTAAAAAAACATGTGTATCACCCAAAAAAAAGTTTTATCAAGTTTTCACCTAAAATAATATAAAAAAAATACAAAAACTAAATTAAAAACCCCAAATTCCCTTACCAATCAAAGCCTTCCGGTCCCTAAACTCCGCAAACCGAGCCTCTTGATCTTCGGTGATGCTCATCCATTGCAATTTCATCCTGTAATAATCGTCCTTCAGCTTCTCCGCTCTTTGTTTATTCTCTTCCACACTCAAATCCCACTTCCAATAATCCAGTAGGTATTTCCACATTACAGGCCTAAGTTCTGGCTCCACTCCTCCTCTAAATATGAGGCTTTTCAGTTGGTGGACGTCCAAGATTCGTCCGTCCGACGCTTTGAAGCGTTCGAAGGTCTGTGGGCTCAGCGGATCGTCGCGGGATGGGATCTTAGGGCGTTCGGGGAGTTCGAGCTTGAAGATATGTTCGAAGCCGGCTTCGTTGTGAACTCTGGAAGAAATGAACTTATATTAAACTTTCAAGGAGGGTACTTCAATGGGGTATGGAGTTACAGGTCGAGTCATACATCAAAAAAATCGCAAAATTTGTCTGATTCAGAATATGTAAAGGTTAGCTGCCTAATTGTGGTTTGTAAGGGGGAAAAACCCTCAGAACTTTTCACGCAACATCACGAATCAAAGGCTTTGTTTTGAGCTAAAGTGAACCCTGGCATCTTGGCAAGCTTTAAAATATCAAATTTGATTAATACTACACTTTAATTAGTAGTTGCAATATAAAAAAGGGAAATTTGTGTGGTGTTGCGAGAAAAGTTCTGAGGACTTTTTCACCCTGACAAACCAAAATTAGGCAGCTAACTTTTACATATTCTGAATCAGAAAATTTTACGATTTTTTTGATATATCTCGACCTGTAACTCCATACCCCATAGAAGTACTTTCCTGTTAAAAAATAAGTAAAAATTACAAAAAAAAATAAATAAGGCAGCAAAAAAATTTAATAAGACCCAAAAGAAAATTAAAGTCAAATCTAATTAAAAGGTTGTCTTCTCACCTCAACTTGTTCACCTCATCCGGAGCTGGATCAAATTGATGTAGAGCTCTGATTTGATTCTCACTGATAACTGCATCGGGATCGAGTAATGGCGCCATGAATGAAGTGACCTTGCTCAAAGCAGTCATGGATGTGGCATATGGATTCGCAATGAATCGCTGAAAATATAAAATATATAAAATTTCACCTCATACCAAGGCCATCAAGCCCGAAATAAAAAAAGAACAGACATCCTAACCAACAATAAACCAAAGGTCCTACTTACAGAGACAATATCCCTATCGATATTGAGCATTCCGACGGATTTTTCCAAAGCATCAGCTCGTGGATCAACAACGACCACCAGATTCTTCTCCTTAGAACTTCTGGTTAGTGTAATGTACTTTTGAAGGTGCGCAACGAACTCGGTATATCCTCCAATCTCAAAGTGCAGGACATGGGAAGTGGAGCCATCCTTGCAGATAAACTGGACCCACGGATTTCCTATAAAAATCATGTTCAATATGGAGCGACATGTTGTTATTGACAACAGCTGTCGTTGACCTAGTTCCTAACATTTCAACATCAACACTCGCGGAAATTTGCATTAATCTCAAAATGTTTATGGTGTTCTTCATGTTCTATTGATCCCTTCATTTCATTGCCAATATTTTTGATACCTAAATTCACAAGAAACAATAAAAATCTCACCTTGACTTGGCTCTTCAAACTTGAAAGAACGAAGATCCTTTATATCAGTCGAAAAGACCAGAGCATTGTAGCTCAAACCCAAAGAACGACCGGATGGAGAAGGTGGATTGCTATTCCTGCCTTCAATCACCCAACTCTGGTCGATGTCATCTTCCGGAGCAGGAATCTCAGCAGGTTTCCATTCGATGTAGATTCCATGAGGCTAAAAATAGACAACTCAACGTTGACTTGGCGAAACAACAACAAAGTCCACTTTTTTCTTATTTGACACTTCAATCTGATGGATGAGTAATATAAATTACGATCCCCAATCAATTCAAGTTTCGAAACCATTTGTTTACCAAGTCTAGGAAATAAAAAATGCCTCATTTTGAATGCAAATAGCCAAGTCAATAAAAAAGGAATTTATAATTTGTTTCTTGTTGAAGATACCTAAATCTCAAAAAAAGAATAAAAATTTCAACTCTTACCTTCTCCACAACCGACAAGACACCATTGATTTTGCCGGACTTCCCGGAATTTGGATTGACGACATCTGCGTGCACCTCACAAATTATAAACGTGGTCTGAAAATCAATAAACCTTTACTCACTCAAGTTTGCACTTGATATCGGCATCACAAGTAATACTAAAAACAAAACAGACACTTCGAAATTATGGAAGAATCGATTTGAAATATGAATAAAACTCGTGACATACCTCTTCATGAGCTCCGAAAGGCTCGGTGGACTCCATTCTGGAGCTAATCTGGCTGTAGACGTCGAAATGCGCCAGATCTTATCTGAAACAATGTCCGTAAATTCTTTTGAAGAACAACGTCGCAAAGAACAAGATTCTCACACCGGCGGCCCTCTTACTCACTTGGGTGCAACCGAAGAAAAATGAAAAACACATGAAAAAGCGGGACAAGTCTCCCCTTTGGGTCAAGTCCTCCTCCTCTGTAAAGACTTCTCAATATTTTGACGATCCGCGCTTTGACAAGCTTGAAAACCTTTTATTCCATTTACAATGAAGACCTGTCCGAGCTCACCATGTTATTGTCTACAAACATCAGACACGGACAACTCAGGTTTTTACGCATATAAAATGGCCCTTACGAATTGCGGAACGTTGGAAGCAGGTTGCACTTTTATCAAAATTTCTTTTGGCAAAAGAAAAATTTTTGATTCTCAAGGACTCGGCAAAACCTCACGTTTATTTTTTCAAAAGAAGGGGCCTTTAGTGCGGGTCATAATTATAACCGCACTTTAGAAATGACTGTAACTTTGGTAATTGTCGATAAGAATGTGTCATATTTGGCACTATTGTGCATCAGTGTACTAGAAATGATGTGACAAAAAATTATCTTAAAACTTTCCGTATTTTGGAAAAAAGCTGCAGAAATCAAAACTTCTGTGAATAATAGAAGCTAATTCAAGGTGATCCTAGGCCAGTTTTTTACTCTCTTTTAAATGACATATTTTTCAAGATAAAACCAGGGGACGAGGTTTTGCCGAGCTCTTGTCGGGCCGTTGCATGCAACATGTTGCAACAGCTACGAAACTTGGAAAAAGACAGCTTTTGCATTGAACAGATCCTCAAACCATGAGAACGATTTCATGTTTGTTCAAAGGCCTTTTACTCTTCCATTTTAGGTAAAGAGGAGCGAGCAGATAGTTCACTAGACCGATCACAGTTCCTGGCTGATCCAAAATCCGGTCTTTTAGCTGTTTGGTATCTTAAAATTCCATAAAACAATTATGGAAAAGCAAGCAAAAAACCCCCGATGATGCAAGATACGACATTTACTAAAACAAATCTTGAAAAATTCAGTTCTCATTCGAATTTTTCACTGCAAGTATGAAACGAAAGATGGAAGAAACTTGGCCCAATTTCCTAATCGAATTTTTGGTCGAATAGTTAGAGTTTTGAATTTACGCGGGGCACAGCGTTCTGTACTTTTTTGGAATAATTCCGACACCGATTTTTTCGAATTTTTCTAAAATAGCCCGCATTTACGCGGGTGTCGCTAGGGAATACTGTAAGATTGACGTGTAAAATTTGCAGTGATTATAGAGTACAGAGAGATCTTTCCAACGATACATACGTAAATTAATATGGAAAAAGAAATTTGTAATCAGCGCTGAAAAATGACCGACTTTGGATTTTCGGCGCTAAAGATTGCCCTTAGGCAGATCTTTCAGAAGAAGTGGATGGTACCACCTTCTGCGGAATTTAATTCTCTACAACATATCCAAAAACTACAAAATTTTACTGCTTTTCCGTCGAATTATGCCTCAAAAATGCAATTTTTGCACTAGTTTTAACAATATTTTTAAAATATTTGCACTTTTTAAGGACATTATTACAAAAACAGAGTCGTACATATTGAAGCTTGCATGGTAGCTGAGCATACTGCTTAATTTTTCCCTGTCATCTTTCTCCATCTTCAAAAACAACGGAGCTAAAGTTTGGTGCTTCGACCCAGCATAAAAATGCCCTAAGGGCGAATTTCAAAAATGCGATAGTGCCACTGAACGTAGAATAAGCGTTCAAACAGCCATGCTCAAAAGGCAACGATTCAATTCCTTCTTCTGTGGCTGCTCCGAGATTTCCATGCAACATCATGAATACGTAAATGTATTCATGAGGCCACCGATGTTTCAAACTATTCCGGAAACTGATTTTTTCCTCAAATTTGGCGTACCTGTAGTACAAAAAATTATATGTTCAGTGGCACTATCGCATTTTTGAAATTCGCCCTTAGGGCGTTTGTATGCTGGGTCCAAGCACCAAACTTTAGCTCCGTTGTTCTTGAAGATGGAGAAAGATGACAGGGTAAAATTAAACAGTATGCTCAGCTACCATGCACGCTTCAATATGTACGACTCGGTTTTTGTAATAATGTCCTTAAAGTGCAAATATTTTAAAAATATTGTTAAAACTAGTGCAAAAATTGCATTTTTGAGGCATAATTCGACGGAAAAGCAGTAAAATTTTGTAGTTTTTGGATATGTTGTAGAGAATTAAATTCCGCAGAAGGTGGTACCACCCACTTCTTCTAAAAGATCTGCCTAACAAGGGAATGGTTTGAACTGTCCGTGAGCTTTCAACATGAGACCTCCAAATTCTGAAAGAGCGTACAAAATTTAGTAGGAATCCGCTTTCCATTTTTGCCGAATGGTCTTGGGAGACGAGAAATATCGACAGAAAGATCCGACAAAAAAATCGAGAGAGAGAAAAGACGAACCGAAAGGCCCAGAGAAGCGTCACCAAATAGTCTAGTGGAAAAAGTTCCACGCACGAAACTTTTGGCAGAGGGAGGCCTTGGAGGTTCGAGTCCACCCGGAGCGGATATCGTCGGCATGGATCTACGTGTCGTTAGTGTATTCGACCGCTATGTAAAGATTCTTTTTTTCATTTGTTCGAGTGTTTTACAGATTTTTTTCGAAATTTCAAGAAGAGTTGACAACTTGGCTACATTTTCGATGATGCCAGATGTCGACATACTGGTGTTTTCAAGACATTTATACTCGGTTCTGAAAGGTTGTATAGGTCTTGCGGAATTTTTTGAGTTTCCATAGAAAAATCTTGCCAAATTTTCGCCTTTCCTGAAAGCTTTGCAAGAAAAGTTCAAAGAAAATTTTTGAGTCCCTGCGTCAGCGTGTGGTCCAACAAGGCATATTTACGAAAAAAATCGATTTTGAGTTTTTTAGTTTAAAATGACCGTGGACATGTGTTTAACAAACGCCCAAAATATTTTTCCCAAATTCTGCCTTGAAGGTATAAATTTTCACAAATTTGTCATTTTTGGAATTTTTTGTCTGACGGCATCATAGAAAGGGATAATCAGCCAAAATTTTGCATATGTACCTTTATGCCCATTGCGTACTCAATTTTTTGAAAGTTAACTTTCACAGATTACTTTAACGTAAGCATATTGTAACCCGGTCGATAAAAAACGACCGCAACTCTTCTTCCAAGGCCATTCGGCCGATAGAAAAAGCATAATTTTGCAAACAGATCTGTGAAACACTCGAATAAATAAAAAAAAGAATTTTTACATAGCGTTTGAACACACTAACGACACGTAGATCCATGCCGACGATATCCGCTCCGGGTGGACTCGAACCTCCAAGGCCTCCCTCTGCCAAAAGTTTCGTGCGTGGAACTTTTTCCACTAGACTATTTGGTGACGCTTCTCTGGGCCTTTCGGTTCGTCTTTTCTCTCTCTCGATTTTTTTGTCGGATCTTTCTGTCGATATTTCTCGTCTCCCAAGACCATTCGGCAAAAATGGAAAGCGGATTCCTACTAAATTTTGTACGCTCTTTCAGAATTTGGAGGTCTCATGTTGAAAGCTCACGGACAGTTCAAACCATTCCCTTGTAAGGGCAATCTTTAGCGCCGAAAATCCAAAGTCGGTCATTTTTCAGCGCTGATTACAAATTTCTTTTTCCATATTAATTTCGTAAGTTGTATCGTTGGAAAGATCTCTCTTTACTCTATAATCACTGCAAATTTTACACGTCAATCTTACAGTATTCCCTTGCGACACCCGCGTAAATGCGGGCTATTTTAGAAAAATTCGAAAAAATCGGTGTCGGAATCATTCCAAAAAAGTACAGAACGCTGTGCGGGGAAGTCGAATTTTTATAACGATGAAAAATCAAAATTCCCAAGAATTCGCACTTTTGGAGCAAAATTTGCATAGCTTGAAATTCTTCCATGAATGTCACCCTCTGTCAGCTGGATTGGCCATTCTATTCTTCTTCACGTTCATCTGTGTGGTCGCTTTTCCCAAATATTGGTGAAAAGAATCTCAAGGCTTCCATTTGGTATATTGTGCTGGAACAGTAAGCGAAAAGTGTTTTTTGTGTGTCCAATATATGTATGTGCATTATTCAATGAGTTTGCCGTTTAGTCCGAAATTAGCGAGATGGACGAGAAAGCGGCGCAGCAGGCGGGGGAAATGCAACAGAAGCTCCTTGGATTGGAGAACAAGGGAAGTAAGGAGGTGGCTGAGACTCAGCCCACGGACGGAATGGGCGCGCTTGCGGGCTCGGGCAGCGATGATGACGGGCTAAACGATGACCTGGAAGTCGGGGGCAGTGCCACTCCCAAGAATATTGTCGGTCCGGCATCTCCGGCACAGAAGGCTCACCAGAAACAGCCAAAGATGACTGATGGAATCAAAAATTGCGAATTTTATCATGGAGTCGTGCCTGATGCTGAAGTGGCTGATTTGCTGAAAAAGAATGGAGACTTTTTATTGGCTTCGAAGTACGGTGAAGCCAAGAAAAATGTGGTCTGTTATGTGAAATGGCAGAATCAAATTAAGTTATTGGAATTTACGCAATCTGCGGACGGCCGGGAAGTGACTTTGGACCGGGTTTGCTATAAACCGACAATCTTGGAGCTGATAAAGTAAGCTTTATGGGCAAAGGTCACCGTTTTTGTTATATTGAACTGAAACTTTCGCCTTTAGTCATCATCAAAAAAACGGCATGCCCATTGGAAACAACGGGGCTCGTCTTGTGGTGGCGGTCGAAAAGCAGGCGTGGGAGTTGGACCCGAAGGACGTCATCACCGGTCGACTTCTCGGCGAAGGGGCCTTTGGCCAAGTGTTCTTGGGGAGTCTAATGCGGCATGGAAAATCTACAGAAGTGGCCATAAAAATGCCTCGAGGCTCGCCGGGCAAAGATCAGGAAATCAGGAAAAGAGCGATGGAGGAGGCGCGGATTCAACGAGACTACAACCACCACAATGTTGTCCGACTCTACGGAGTGGTCTTTACTGCAAATCGACTCTGTGTACGTGGTTTTGAGAGGTTTTTGATGGGGGATTTTGATGATTTAGCTGTGAACATTGTAATTAGTACGTGTGTTTTGGAAGGCGCTTAATTTTCCAGATTGTTCTTGAATATCTCGCCGGTGGAGCGTTGGATTCCTACGTGAAGACGAATCCCCAGTGCACACCGAAAATTCAAGCCGCATTTTGCTTTGATGTTGCGGTTGGAATGGAGTATTTGCATGCCAACAAATGTCTTCATCGAGATATGGCTGCGAGGAATTGTTTGGTCGATCTAACGTTTCCGTGTGCCAAGATCTCGGACTTTGGCTTGTCGGCGAAAGGGACCATCCATGAGATGGACCGGGCCAGGCCAACTCCCATCCGTTGGATGGCGCCGGAAGTTCTGAAGACGGCGAACTATACGAAAGCGGCGGACATCTGGAGCATGGCGTAAGATTATGTGGGCCACTCGAAACTCCCAACCTCTTTTCAAGTATTTCTCCGCCAATAGTGAACCAATTTCGATAAAATTTATATCAAATTGAAGCTGAGACACCCCGCTTCTTGTCCACCTAATATGGCTTTTCCAATTCCGAGAAACTCAATTGAAAATCGTTCTAAAAAATTTCTAAGTTTTACCGATTTTGAGCGCCAAAATTTTTAATGAAAATGTAAAAGGTCAGTGCGGGTGCCTCCGTGAAGCTAGGCGGGCCATGTTTGGTGGACAAGAAATGGGGTGTGTCAGCTTCAGTTTGATATAAATTTTATAGAAATTGGTGCATTATTAGCGAAGAAATACCTGAAAAGAGGTTGGGAGTTTCGAGTGGCCCCCCACCCTGTAGAATTATTGAATCGGAACCCAAGAATAATGTGTGGAAGCTGTTACCTAACTGTTTGTATTTTAGCATCATTTTCTGGGAGATCTTCAAGAAATGCAAGGAGTTACCCTATGCGGATAAGGACCTAAAACAAGTTCAGACCTCCCTTTGGCATAACCCCAACTTCCATCCGGATATTGATCCGGCCTTGCCAAGGGAGCTGAAGAATATTATGGAAACATGCTGGAATCATGACCCCAAACTGAGACCATCAGCCACGAAGATTGCCGATTATCTTGCTTGCCTTTCGTATAGAGCGAGGTCATTTTTCTGTTTCAAAGCTCGGTTACTCTGTCATTTAGGTTACTGTAACAAGATGACTTTTTTCAGGTATCCTGCTACTCATCAGATGAACAAAACTTTGAAAATGCGCGAAAATGCCTCCAAAAACAAGCCTCTACTGGGTAAAGATAAAAACAAGTCCTCGCGAAGTTCCCAAGGAAGTTCCGCAAGCAAGGGACCTTCCAAATCCAAGGAGAAGAAGAGCAGGGCCAAGGATGGAGCAGAGTCCAAGAAACCAGGCGGATCAAAGCAGAGAAGATCCAAGAACGAGCCGATTCCTTGAATATAATCTTTTTATAGGTATAAAATTGACCTGCGATTGGTCTTTTAAGATTTTTTAAAAAATTGCTCTTGTATTCCTTCGTCACTCTGTCAGCGCAAAAACTGTAACCCAGCTTTGGGGTTACAGAACCGTGGAAGGTTTTTCGGTCTGTTTTAAGGGTGACGGCACCGTAGCTAGCCAATAGCTACAGTGCCGTACTACCACCATGCAGCGGTGGATTAACTTTTACAGACCATTCTTTGTGTGGAGGCCCGACCTGGGTCGAGAATTGTATGACATGCGTCAAGTTGTGGTTTGGAGTCTCCGCAGAGACGTAGTACTCAATCTTTTAGCCGCCCTTGGGCGAAGTCGGGGCCGGGCGGAATCGAACTTGGATGCCTTTCGACCCATCCGACCCTTCTTGTCCCCTGCGCTAGGCAGGGGACAGAAGAGTGAGCATTGGACCGAAGGGAAGTGAAAGAACGTCTTGGAATAAATTAACACGATTTTTTAAGTGGACAGAAGTTTGGATCGCTGACACGGGCTGATCTGTTGCGCGATAGGGTTGCTTTCGCCTTTGGAGAGCCGAAAGATGCCGTTTTTTGGCTAACAAGGGAAGTCCCCAAGTGTGAAGCTCAGATTTTCTTTAAAATTTGCGCACGTGTCGGTCATGAACTGGTAGAAATAGGCAGGAAACTTTGGTGCCGAAATTCGAAAAAAAGTCAAATTTTCGCCGACTTTCGACCTAAAAATCTCGGTGGTTTCTGCAAAGCGCGAGCTGGGATTCTTGCATATATTTTAGAAAAAAATATTCTAAATTTGTGCCAATTTTCATCAAAATCTGAGCGTCGGACTTGGGGTACTTCCCCTGTAAAAAAAGTTTTCTCTTGAGGACCTCAATTTGTACTATTCGTCCAGAAACATTCAGTTTTCTTTATTTCTCCGAACTGCCATAAATGCAAATGAAAGCGCAAAAGTTAGGTTACAACACAAAGCCAATATAGGATTCGAAACGGGTTGGGGATTCACACGAGATATGACTAAATAAAGACGAGTTAAGGTAGATAGAAAGATGATGGCAATTTCTGGCCATTTCCTAGCAATGAGGCGATCGAAAACGAGGGCTTTGGCGACAAGCTGTCTTCGTTCGTTGAGGTGAAGGGCTTCATTTCCGGCGATCCGATCAACGGGAGCTGAGGGCGGCTGAAATTGAAATTTGAGTTGCTCGAAGCCTTCGAACTGATCTGTAGTTTTGTTAAATCCAATTCTCGATTTAAACTCTTTTGACTTTTGGATCAATAGAATTGTAGGTTCGGAGGAGTTCAACTTACGACTTCAAGAATCCATTCTCCACACTCTCCTCCACTTGTCGCTGTCGATTCTCCACATTCATACAATGATTGGCCAAGATCTGAGCGAATAATAATTGCTGCACATTGAAGGCCGGGTCCGGCGGAATGGTCTCCCGATTGATCAATTTCCCAAACTCTTCCAGCAAATTGAACTGCATTGGCTTGACTTCGGAGAGGTCTACCGATGAACTCGATTGAAATGAGGAGGGTAAATCGAACGGTGATTTGTTGGGCGAGAGGAAAGAAATCTCGGGGGATTGGCTGGGTAGCGTTTTGAGACGAGGCTGGAGTTGTTTTCGAGGCATGAAATCTTCGGTAAGCTGAAAAATGAGGGTATTCTAGTTGCTACTACAACGATATGAGATTATTTTATGACTTGATTTTTTGTGGAAGATGATTTTTTCGGATCCGACCGTTAAATTTTCGGTGAATGATTTGTCTAGGCCACATGTCATTCCCTCAAAATTTCAACCCGCAGTTTGCAAGAGTAGTTGAGATATTTCATGGCAAAAGATGATTTTTTGCGAAAATGTAAACGGTTCAACAAAAAGTTTATTATTTTGCCAACGCCTTCAAATTTCGAGCATTTCTTCGATAAAGAGATTAGCTAAAACTTTACCGTCACCTAAGCCACTAGTTGATCATTTACAGTACGTCCTCACAATACCCCGCCTCTGCTTCCATTGTTCCCGAAAATATTTTCCTCCAAATTCCTTCCGCTCATTTAATTATGCACAAATACTTGTTATTCGAGCCGAAAAAACTCTTAACTCCATATAATATTGGCTTAAAATTAATTGATTGCGCAAAAAGTATTACAATTTTAATTTTCTCGTCTCCTTGTGTCCCTAATTCCGCGCCGACAATATTGGAATTGGGGTCTTTTTGTTTTGAATAAATTCGCGGATTAAGTGGGCCCTTGAGTAAGCGAACCGACCGACCGTAACCGAATGCGAGCCGACAATTCGCGACATGCTAATTTATGTTCGGCTGGGGTGAGGAAATAGTTAGTTGTAGGGGCGAAAGAAATGCTTATTTATCATGAAAAAACAGTCACAACCAAAAAACTGTAACCCAGCTTTGGGGTTACAGAACCGTGGAAGGTTTTTTGGTCTGTCTCAAGGGCGATGGCACCGTCGCCAATAGCTAGATGCCATACTACCACCACGTTGCGGTGGATTAACTTTTACAGACCATTTTTTGTGTTGAGCCTCGATCTCAGTCGAGAGTTTTGTTGCCGGAATAGCGGTCCGTGGACCTTCAATTGTGAAGCGTGAATGACCCGGAGGTCGTGTCGGAGTCGGACGGAATCGAACTCGGGTGCCATTCGACCCATCCGAGCCCTCTTATCCCCTGCACTAGGCAGGGGACAGAAGAGTGAGCCTTGGACCGAAGGGAAGTGAAAAAACGTCTTGGAATAAATTAACGCGATTTTTTAAGTGGACAGAAATTTGGATCGCTGACGCCAGCTGATCTGTTGCCCGATAAGAGCGTTTTTTGCTTTGAATAGCCAAGAAAAACAGTTTCTTGGTCTTTGGTAAGTCAAAACTCACCTTAAACCTCTTCTGTCGCCTCAGGCAGCTTCCATTTTCGAACATCCTCTGTGCTGCTGGATGAATGGCCCAGAAAGACCCTTTTCCCGGCCTATCTGGCCTTCGCGGGATCTTGATGAAGCAATCGTTGAAACTCAAATTATGTCTCAGCGAGTTCTGCCATCTTTGTGTGTTCTGTCGGTAGAAAGGGAACTTGTCCATAATGTACTTGTATATATCGGTTAGAGGTAACATTTTGTCATCAGAATCTTGAATTGCCATGTACGTCAGCCAGATGTACGAGAACGGGGGCTTCTGAAATTAAATGTAAAATACGGGAGACCCAATTTTTGTTTAATTTTGAAACAGATTCAAATTTAAATTTACTATGCCTGGATAAAGTAATTTAATGTCAACAACATTCTTACTACGGCTTCTTTTCCCCAAAAACGCTTTTTTTTGTATTCTGTGAGTGTTTATAGAACAGTTTATGCGCTAATTTTCTTGGGACTCCAAACGAACGGAAAGGTTTGTTTGTACGATGACAACAGAAGTTGGAGAATACACAGCTCTGTAATATTGTCGCCATTTTTGGCTTTGCAAAACAAGATATCAAAATTTCGGTTTAGGTGTTGTCACCGTTACTTTAAGCATGAATTCCTGACGGTTGTTGAAAACAAAACGGCAAAGGTTCAAAGATTTTTAAGTCAAAAATAAATTCGGACAATTTGGTATCTTTTTGTTTAAAAACGAGTGCCAAAGCAAGTTCCAACCTTCTCGATTATGCTAGTGATATTTCCAGTTAGAGAAAAAATCTTTTTGAAGCAATTCGATGACTCTAAACTTGTAAATTACGTCATTTTCCAGTCGGATAAAAGTCATTTTTCCAGATTTTCTTTAAATTTTGCATACATGTCGGGTATGGACTAGACATCAATTCCTGAAAGTTTTAGCTCGCGCTTTGCGGGCGCCGCCGAGATATCGACCGATTTTTGCCGCCGAGAGAGGGCGCTAAACGTGGAGAGCGGTCAGAGAGAAAAGCGCTTTTTGGCCATGACTTTGGCAGTTTCGTGCGGAAAAAATTGATTTTTTGTGGAAAAATTACCCATTTACGGTAGAAATAGGCATGAAACTTTTCGTGTCGAAATTCGGCAAAAACTCCTAAATTTTCGCCGACTTTCGATCTAAAAATCTCGGTTGTTTCTGCAAAGCGCGAGCTAGGATTCTCGCATATATCTTAGAAAAAATTATTCTAAATTTGTGCCCAGTTTCATCAAAATCTGAGCGTCGCACTTGGAGTACTTCCCCTGTTAGCAAAATTGACATCAAATGCGTACCAATCGCAAGTAAAACTTACCGGTGACGAGTTCTCATCGTAGGAATGTTTCCCTGGCCGCGGCATCGCTTCCAGTTTTTCTTCTTCGCCTATCCGTTGCAATATTTTTTTCAATGTAAACGGAGCTTCTGTAACACTGAAAATGAGCTATAAAGATTACAAAACGACGAGAGAACAGCCGAGAAATTCTTCATGAATAATACGAATCTCCTCTTGTAGACAGAGTATAAAACAAGATATGTTTGTGACGATAAATACAGTGTTATGGTGCGGATTTTTGAAACAGCATGTACATTAGGGTGGAAATGTCGTTGATATTTTTATGGGAAGTACAGTAAGTGGACTCTAAAGCCGGCCAGAGTATAAAATAATTCAAAAAGACAACATGTAGAGTAAAATAAAAGTGGTCTTCAGAAATGTGAAGTGCTGAAACACTTAAACTGATATGTCTCTGCTATTGACATTATCAGCGTGTATGCAGATATAACGTAAAGCTATATCTGCAACTAATATCAGATAACATTTCCCGTAAATGGTTTGAAGAGGCCACTTACAATGATTCTGCCTACAATATCCCGCGAGAAAAAAGTTTATAAATAAATTTATTCCAAATACAAGGGTTTTTAAACTCTGTAAAATTGTTGTAAATTTATCTGTAAATGTTTAGAACCAACAATATTTTTTATGGTGCTTAAACACGCCATGATCTGATCCCTTTTTTCATCTCTTTTTTACTGAATCACTGACTCAGGGCAATTATCATCCGAAATTTCTTTAAACTTCGCAACCTAATCTACCAAAAATTCTATACCTCACTGTTTACACATACCCCTAAACTTGACAAAGCAAATCCTGCACATTTGTCTCGCCAAAGTCACACCCAACGCTGAAATATTTCAAATTTTACCACCTTCAATTCCCCTGCATAACTTCTTGTCTAGACGTCAAAGATCGCTTGCATTGCTCAAAAACATGTTCGGGATTTCCAAATAGGGGAGTAATTCTCCGAATGCAAACGGGGAAATGTACTGCATCGCGTCCTATATGCACCTACAATCGGTACTGTAAACACAATTTTCCGAATCGCGTAAATATTAGATTTTTGTACACATGTATCGTAATCTTTAAGTGTAGTGTTTGTATTACAGTATAAGGTACAAAATTTACAGTTTGTTTTAGCGGCTAGACAGTAATTGTAAATATTTACCATGACACAAAAAATATATTACTATCTACGTAGTGTGGACCTCACTTTTTTCTGACCACTTTCTACATATTCTTGCAATCTTTAACCCACCGTTGTTGACAGTATATATACGATACATATACAGCAAAATACAAAACGTTGTAATCCGAAACTCGAAGGAGTTTTTGAGTGTATAAAAAAGGTCGAAAATCAAATACTCTTTTTTTGATGAAGTTCGGAAATTTACGAAAATTTTAGCCAATATCAAACAGGAACCTTCACAATTTATTATAAACAATATGTCCGATGAAATACTTCTCTAATAGCACGTACGACGCAATTACACGACAAACTTTAAGGATAATTTTTGTATGTTTTAGAGGCCTTTTGTTACTTGTCCACTTTGTCGTCCTACAATCTCATTTGAATATAGGTTTTGATAAGGAGAATGTCAAATGTAAAGGAAATAATGATTACAAACAGAAAGGTCGTACAATACGAAACATAGAGCCCAATGTAGGGAATTGAAGATGCCGATGCAATAAAGATTCCGAATTCTTCAACAGGGAAGTCTTGACATGGAATATGCCCTATTGGATAAGAGTAGAGTCAAATTTACGGACACTAATTTATAATCTTATATGTGAAAATTCAACTCTGTGGCTTCCGGAAATCACAGAGTTTGTTTGATTGGCCACCTGGCCAAAAAGTGATTTTTTTTGAGCTGGTTCAGGATATTTGGCAAGTCGTTGATCAAACCTCTTTTCTGCCTTCCGGCCTCATTTTTCTCCCAAAAAAAGATCGTTAAATAACTCGATAGTATTATAGTAGCTACTACTCGGAGGGTGGAAATGGCAACAAGATTTGAGGAAAATTTTAATACCCTTCCTCGAAGACTGCCAAATTTTACAATTAGTAAAACTAATTCTGGCCGTCGATCTGACCATCTTTAAAATTTACAATCCTTATAAATAGACCTCTGCGCTATGAAATTCGTGTTGAGGCCAAGACATGTACAGATCATCATATTCCCCAACCAAACGTGCAAACATATCTCTTTCGCATTACCGTAATCCCCCCGAAACCAATCAAAAAAACGGCTGATTCCCCGCAAACGAAACGCGATTTTAAATACCAATCCCTCACGAAACACACCCGCCGCTAACCTAAATACCATACTTCTGCGAGGGATTTACTAAAGAATTTTAATTTCATCGTATCTTTGAGCATGCCTTCAGCGCGCCCGCCCCGCCCCCTTTCGAGCAATTTTAATTACAAAATAATATTGTCGTCGCTGTAATTGGATACCGTAGTTCTGTTAACAAGTTCTCGTTTGATGGAGTCCGAAATGGGGTTGGTGATGGAGACCGCGATTCAGTCGGTCGATAAAAATCATGATCAATGTGGGAATGGAAAAAGGAAGGGGGAGCGATAAGTGCGTATACGATAAATTTCAAAACATCCTAGAGTGTTTTGTTGAAGCATCAGAAAACTGAGATGTAAATGTGAAAATGTCCCTGTGAAAAACGATTTCAACGGCAAGCGTGCAAATTGTAGACTGGCAAGAGAGCGGAGCAAGGTCCAACTTAAAAATATTTTTTCATATGGAAACGAAAACACTAAAAGTTTGAAATTTGCAGTGCTACAAAATGATGACATAGCAATTGGGCAGGCAGTAAAAGTGGTACAATTGCGACTATTATACTATCGTCGTACTGATCGGATCAAGTCCAACTTCATTATCGGTATATCCGGCTGCCTACATTGTGTTCATCCACGTTCGATAGTCATATATAGAAATAAACTTATTGCTTTTCCCCTACAACATGTTTGAAGTATATTTCATATGAATATTTTCATATAATTCAACGCGTGTGGACGTCGCCACCAATAATTTAACCAATTCTAAATCAATTTTTAACACCCTTTCCGTACATATCAGTCTGTCGCGAAAATAATGGCGAATCGTCGCGCCTCGGGATCGCCCATCATGGCTTTGCCACGGAGTTGGAGGATTGGGGAAACCGAAACGTATATATTATTTTTCTTCGATGCAAGTGTCGAAATTAGGATAATCGAGGGTGCTGATTTTGAAAATGACATTCATTTTTTTTATCTTTACTTTTTTCCTTACGTAGTACTCTAAAGTAATAATGTTTTGAATTTTTATCACAAATACTCGATTTGGGGTTTTTGAACTTGCTGATGTCGAAAATCTTATTCATTTTTTCTGATTTAAAAGCAGCACCATCGAAAACCCCCAAATCGAGTATTCATGAAAAAAATTCAAGAAATTACTACTTTAGAGTAATACGTAAGGCAAAAAGTTACTATCAAAAAATGAATGTCATTTTCGAAACAGCACCCTCGATAATCCTAATTTCGACACTTGCATCGAAGAAAAATAATACTTTTCGGTTTCCTCAATCGTCCAACTCCGTCGCAAAGCCATGATGGGCAATTCCGAGACGCGACGATCCGCCATTACTTTCTCGACAGACTGATATGCACGGGAAGGTGGCGAAAATTGATTTAGAATTGGTAAAATTATTGGTGGCCACGTTCACACGCGTTGATAATACATACATACGTTTCGGCTTGCCCAATCGCATTTTTCCCCAATCGTCCCAGTTCCCTTTGCGACGGGTGCCAAAGCTGGTGATTCGGTGCACGACTGCACCCTTTTTTTCAACGAGGCGAAACATTTTGCTGCGACGACCCGCCGTTGTTTTCCCGCCAGACTGCTAGTCCAAAACTGTACTCGGACTACAAAACACGAGAGCCAAAGGGTTCGTTCTAGGTACCGGAATCTTGAAAACCTCTAAAAATTGCCCCTACATTGAGGGTTACTGTATAACAACACAAGAAAGCCGGGTTTCCACGAACGAACATACGTGAGATTCTGAACGTTGTATGTATTGAATGGACCTTGTTCTGATACTACTTCTTCAACACGTTTTGTATTTACCCATTTTATGTAAAGACGTTGGCAATTGTAGGGATTTCGAAATCAAGCGTGGTATTACAAAAAATGTTTGCTCTACTGTTTTCAAAGTATTGGGCCTATAAATGGTCGCTGCAAGGTTTCTAAATGCTTACATTTTGTGCAAAAAAAACTCGGACTTCTCTTGCTCGTGGCCATTTTTAAGCCTTGAAAAAAAATTTGCAAATGCTTCTTGAAATGTTAGAGAAAAATATGAAGCAAAAAGTAAATTGATCTACAAATTTTTTAATCATCAGCACCAGTTTAAAGGCTGATCACAGGCCTTACATTGAGGGTTGAGAAACATAGCAAGCTGTTAAGGGCGTTGTAAAATCAATGATTATCGAAATCCAGCCATTTTCTCAACAAAATTTAAAATAAATGGTAACCAAAAGATTGCACCCAAATTCTCCTGATTCCCTTTGCACGAGGAGCCGCCAACGTCAAAAATACTGTAGTTGCCCTTTGTCATCCCAAACCTGGGCAATTGTAGGCGGTAACAATAGCTCTGTTCTGCATTATACACGAGTGTCGGCCGTTTTTGTAGCTTACAATTTGCTTTGCGCTGCAGAAAAAAGCGAAGGACCTTTTAAGTATCCGAGACCTTTTTTGGATTCAAGTTCAGAAGGACGCTTGTGTAAATCAACATTAAATATAAAGTCTCCTCTGTTTGTACCTTTACCCAGCTTCCAAAATCGCTGATCCCCTTTCATTTCATTACCGTATCCTTCTTTACTTTTTTGCAAATCCTTTCCGTCCGCTCTCTTTTCCTTTTTTTCAGCGCCCATTTGAAGCGGAGTAAAAAGCAAAGGAATAAAAAAAGCCCAATCCGCGAAAAGAGGAGGTGGTTTCACATGGTAAACCCTTTATTGCTAATAAAACGATTACATATCCGTA